TACCACTAGATTTTAGTATAATATTTACCGTGACTAATTATTAGTCTTATTATTATTATTATTATATAAGCGTTTAAACAATACTTTCCAACCACTATGTACAGACAGGGGCCAGACATAAAACACCGGAGGGCAGGACCATTTTGGCATATAGCACTTCTGAAACCCAACAACCCAATGCGACCCTTTAAACCAGATTCCCCGTACCGCGAGTAGTTAAAAAGATATTATAACGACACTTATATAAGTCATAATAATAGCTCAAATATTTATTATAAGTTCATAATAACAATACTAATTTTAAATATAAGCTATATTAAAATAGGTAAGCATAACTTACTTACAAGGGGGTTTTAGCTAGGAGTCGGGCTCTGCAGGGGCAGAACTTCGTCGTTGAATCTTTCTAAGAAAGATTCGTGCAGCGCTTCAGCGCTCACCTTACTATACTAAAACTACAGAAAGAGAAGTCGAATCACGAGGGACCGAAATGCTCGGGGGATAAGAAGAGAAAGACTCTTGAATCAAGAGAATGGTGCAAGAAATATGAAAGCTAGAGGCTCTTATTTATAGTGATTGAATTTTCAAAAACTACCCTCCATAGTTACTTAATGACCTTATAGTTATATGAATAACTAAAACACCCCTTTATAATACTATTTTAAATAGATTTAATGATATTTGTATTAAACTAATGTCGAAAGTACTCAACACTAGTCTTATAACAACCGCGTCGTCAATACCTTTCTAACGATATATACATATGTATATATATGTATACGTATATATGATTTACACTTTATTTTAATACGTAAATGTGCTATTAAAAATTAGAACTCGTTCATACGAACTCCGTTTTTGACGTTCTTTATATCCACACGTAGCTATCGACGAGATCTACAACTTTCGTTTAGACTCCGTCGGCTAATTTTGAATTTATATTTTTGTCCATTTTTTTTATAAAATTAAATGATTTTGCTAAAATCATAACTCTCTCGTACGGACTCCGTTTTTGGCATTCTTTTTCTCAAAATTCCTATTTTAAGGAGTACTACGATTTTCATTTTGGTCGCATTAGCTAAAAGTCTATCATTCTCTTCGTAGCTTTTTACGTCATACATTCGTTGTGCGCGGGTGACTTTTATATCTTATAAAAATCATATCTAATTCATACAGATTCAGATTTCGACGAAATTTATATTTTCGGGATCGGGACAACGTATACTTCCTAAATATATAATATATATATATATATAATATATATATATATATATATGTTTTGGCGCACTTATTTTTACGATTTACGGACGATTCGACTGATTTTTCTTATTTTATTATATTATAATAATCATGAAACATATAATATTCAAATAATTTTTCTTTATTACGTCAAATAGGTTACAATTGTTAACCCTAACTATTACTTTGATTACGATTATTTATCCTAGATAATATTCTATATAAAAATCATTTTTGTAACGATTATTATATCTTAATTGACTTGCCCGAATCTGCGGGCGTTACACTAAAGTACTCCAAAAACCCAAAAAGATCAGACTCGAGGGGTGAGGTTTTTTAGAGAAGGTTGGAATGAAGAGAGGAGTGAGAAACAAATGAAGTCGGAGCACTTTGTTTATAGTAAGGATGTGCGTCGTGCACTATAGGTGCACGTCATGCACTAGGGTAACGTTAATCCATTCGCCGCCTGCCACGTGTGAAAACCCGTGTGATCCACAGTGTACCTTCTAGAATCTGCGCGTCGCGCACTTTGTGCATGCCGTACAAAACGTGGATTTTGTAAATTCCATATCTTCTACATACGACCTTCGTTTTTGACGTTCTTTATATCCACACATAACTATCAACGAGATCTATAACTTTCATTTAGACTCTGTCGGCTAATTCTCATTTTATTTTTAAAGCTATATTTTTAGCAGACTTAGATTGTTAAAACCCATATAAAAATCATAACTCTCTCATATGAATTCTGTTCTAGATTGTCTTTATATCCACAGAATCATATGGACGAGATCTTCAACTCTTGTTTAGATTGTTTTTCCTAACAATCGACTGATTCCTATTTCGGTTTCTGTGTCGTACACTGTTGTGCTTAAACTTCTAAAAATTATAACTTCCACTTATGAAGTCAGATTTGGACGTTCTCTATATGCACACTCTCGGTTTTGCGATTACTACGACTTTTGTCAAGACTATTTATCCAAAATAGTCATCTATAAAAATGTCTATTTACGTAACTGGTCTTTTATATTATAAGGCGAAAATGGGGTTGTTACAACTCTCCCCCAATTATAGAGATTTTGTCCCCGAAATGCTACTCCTAACGTACTTTAAGATAATGCCTAGACACTATTCTTCTGGGGTTTCATGAGATCAACCTAATATCTAGCCAACGTTGTTGCATCGAATTCGTCCCTCCGTACTTAATCGGCCGTAGAACTTCGTTTTCTACCTTAGACGTACTCCCGAAATCCTCGCGAAATCTTCCAAAATTGGGAATTCGTCGGTTTGCACTTCCAGAAATTACACGCTATAATTGACGATCGCCTTTAGACGTAAAATGTCGACATAGTCGACTTGATATAAAAAGTGCTTAACTACAGAAATTTCTTTATGATATCCTAACGAGATCCACTTTTTATAACATGCATGCCTCTAAAAGGGCCCATGGAATGTCCACAGTCTAGATTGCAAGTGGTTTCTCTACCTAGTTCAGGTATTCCAACATCCTAAATTTTAACCACAATTACCATAATGTGTTTATTGGCTTGAAAAACACTGAAAGCAATACTCTAATATTGGTGTCAGACTTATAATAAGGCCTACTTATCTTCCAACCTACTTGATTATAATGAACACTAGGTCTCCTAATAGTCTTCTTGCAGGTCTCTAACTACTTTTCCTACATTAAGGTATGACTATTGTTCGCGTAATTTGTCCTTATACCCGCTGATGATACGTCGTGACATTATCCAACTATTGGGATTTTGATGTTGGATCGCACTTGTCATCATATCCTCTCGGTCCTAAAGACTCACGATCGACTCTTTTGGTCGTCTTGAAGACTCACAACCATTATCTGACTGTCCTTAAAGGAACTCAATCTTTATCCTTCCTCGATATCTACTTATCACAACAGATCCTTGCTTTTTAAACGTTTGAGGCTATAACTAATTAGAGGTCCTTAATCTACACTGTACGGGTGCTAAAGTCTAACTTTTGCCATATGTCAACCTATGAATGTTGAAATTCGATCCTAGTTTTCAATTAATTCTTTCGCTTATCGACTAAAGGAATAATTAAAATAAACACGTAGTCTACCCAGAAACCTAAAATAACACCGAAGTACTAATGGGTATAGTCCTTTTCGAGTGGTTTCCTCCTATGGGTTTCTAATCGTACTTTCGAAAATACACTTTTCTTGACGTTGTTCCTACTATTAAAAATCCTTTGGCAAGGGTTAACTAAATCTTTTACTATGGTTGAAATCGAATGCTTAAGTCTGTATATCTTGAGTACTTGACGCTCTCTATGGAAAACTATATTACCTATTGAATTCTTGATCCTCTGCTGCGAGGATGAATTCCCTATTTGCGAAGGAGCGAACCTAAATGGTTCTCTTGGCTTTCTGGGTCGCACCTGGAAATTCGGCTACTTCCTAAATTCTATTAGTCGCTTAGGAGGAAAGGCCAACCTTTCCTTGAGGAGCAAGAAAGTCATAGCCTATGGGTAATTTAATAGAAGACTCCCTTCTTCTATTACCCGCTCAACGAAAACAAAACTAACTATCTCCGTCTACTCGTGGTGTGACTCTTCCTGATTCAAGTGTGAGTCCTATGCTTCGGGTAGTATAGGTCTCTACTACCTTTGACACATACTCATACTTGTCCCAAAAATTGTCTTGCAGTTTCTAAGTCACTTGCAATACTACACACGATGACCGATAAACATATGTATGTATGCGTCCCATGAGTACATACAACAAGTTTTTCCTAGACTCCACTAGGAATTTGCATCTTTACTGATGCTCTACCTTATGAATATATGCCCTATCAAGCATATATTAAACTTCCCATATTTTGTTACTAAGATTTCTTTCCACTTCACCATACTATTGGCTGAGGAAGAACTTATACTAATATTAACTAATTATTGGATGAATACAATTGCATGTCGCTAAAATCAAACAGTCTGTCGACTGAAAGATCCCACACTACAACGGTTAGACTCATACGAGAGTTGCGAAATAACGCCAAATCAAGCAATCTAAAACTATCTAATTTTAGGAGCATGCAACCTAACATATTTTTCAAATAACTAATTAATATTAATATAGGTTCTAAGCAACAAATAACAAAAAAATCTCTAAGTTCCACTACTACAAAAATACCCTTTAATGACACGCATTGCGTGTCATAAAAGCCACAGATGACACATAAATGCATGCCAAGGAAGACCCTGTCATAAAGGAAGACGACACGCATTTGCGTGTCGTTACCTTACGACGCGCATTTACGAAACCCTCTTACGACAACCAATGCGTGTCAAGGAAGGCCCTGTCATAAAGAATACGATACGCATCTGCGTGTCACAACCTTACGACGCGCATTTACGACTCGCATTGGATATCGTTAAAGCCCATGTCATAAAGAAAGAAGACACACATTTTTGTGTGTCATAATTTTAAATGTTTTAAAAATTATATATTTTGATAGATTTAGTAATTTTCAAATTAAATAACACAATGAAAGTCTCATAATACAAAATAAAATATAATAAATAAGAAAGATAATTCATTGCACTAATATGTCAAATACAAATAATTATTCCAATAATAAGTAAATTTAATACATTGTTAATATTGCATAATATTTATTATAGAAAAACAAAACATGTACAACATTAAAAGGAACCCGTGAGTAATTTCTCCTTGGACAATCTCCATGGCAGCTTTAAGCCTTGCAACCTCACCACTTGAAGATGCATCAACCAATGTCGACTCTTTTTTCTACATGTTTCCTGCACTTGGGGACATAAAATGAGTTATATAGTTAAAAAAAGTAAATTATGTTGTAAATGAAATGAACAAATTCTTCAACTAAACAATAATACACATGACCAAAACCATGTCTTCAATATTCAAAAAGTTGATTAGAATGTTAAAGCGTTTCTCAAATGTTCAAAACAAGTCAGGTACCAAATCCATTTCAATTGTTAGAGTTCTAAAACACAAGGACCACACCCAAAAATATTATGATTCATTTTATTGATGAATAGGTATATTTCAGGTACTAATTATAGTTCATGTTTATATGCTCTAATTTTTTTTTTATAATAAAGAAATACAAAATACAAAATTAATTACCATGATGATGAAAGATTTCCATTGTGTGTGTCTTTTGGTTGGAGTAAGAGACTTGCAACAGCGTAACCAGCACCACTGATGATGAAATTATGTCGGGCAGCTTCAAAACTTGGAGAACCCACTGCCCCAAAATCTTGTTGAAATATTTTATATAAATCACCATCTGTCGTTTCACCCATTTGGCTTCTACTCCATGTCTTTTGAACAACCTGCACAAAAATAAACATATATATATATATATATATATATATATATATATATATATATATAATATATATATATATATATATAAAATTAAATTTCAATTCAACACCATTTATGTTTTTATTTTTTTGCTTAAAAATTAGAAGAAAAAGTATGGAAGTTGAAGTAGATATGTAATAATGTAAGAGATGAGTGACCTCAATTATTCTTCTTTCAGGGTCAGTTGGAAGTACTCCATAAGGAAACAGATAAAGATCAAGTCCAACTGCTTCAAATATGTCTTTCAGAAGCGAAATCACTCGTAAAGCAAGTACATCTTGTCTGCAGTCATCTCCAACCTGCATAATAAATATGTATGTGTTTATTTTCATTTCTTCCTATTACAACATTCTACTTATCATTCATATACCTTTAAAATACAAGCTTGCGGTTTTAGATCATTAGGGACGCCATTTCGATCAGCCACATCAAACGTGATCATAATTGGGACCTTTGCAGCCGACTGTAATGGTATTCCACTATTCACCTTAATACCCTTCACAATCTTACAAGGAGCTGTAGGTAGATAAAGATCATCCCCATCCAATTGAATCTTTTCCAACTCTTTGCACCCAAAACCATTTTTTTTAAATTAATAAAAATACCAAAACAGATGAACAAACGGATATACCTACCTCTTTATGCCCACTCTTCTTTCTTCTTTTGGAAGAGGATAAAGTACACCTGATATAGACGTCACTCTCTTTGATATATGTCACAAGCTTTTGGACTGAAACCATCGATGATGTGTTGTCTAACAAGAGGCAGTAGACCCAAAAAGGTTGTATTCTGAATCAATCAATCAATACACATAATTTAACAATGACTAATAAAAAAAAGATATGTTGATTGGTTTCTCTTAATCACATAGAAATGGATAAAATTCAGTCAGTACCTTCGCTGACACACCTTCTTTCCCCACTTGATCTGGTGTACATGTCTCACCCATATCATCAATATATACTTCACTTCAGTTACTACAAACTCACACATTTTCTTATAAAATGTTCACTAATATACATTTTTTGGTGTCTGGGTATATACTTGATTTTTGCAATCTTTGTTCCAAAAACTTATTTTGAAGTTTCCTTATGATTTTGGTCCACATGTCATCTAAGTTAACAGCCTGGCTGTTGAAATTTTCATTATGACCAAAGTTATATATATATATATATATATATATATATATATATATATATATATATATATATACACCGTAGGGACCAAATAAGAGAAATTTACAAATTTGGACCCTATGAAATACTGTTTTTTTAGTTTTGGTCCAAGGGTAAAACGACCATTTTAAAAAATCTAACAGCTAGGCTGTTTACTTACAGGTCACATGGACCAAAATCTTTATGAAGCTTCAACTACACTCACTACTCAAGGACCAAAGTTGTAATTTATTTAAAACCAAAGACAAAATGTGCCAACCTGTAAATGCCAAATGAGAATATGAGAGAACACATCACTTCTTTGAGCAACTCTAATCAGGTATCCCTCAACCAATTTCTGTAGATTAAGCGAATGTTATTATTATTATTATTATTATTATTATTATTATTATTATTATTTAAATCAGACAATTGAAGTAAATGTAGTTATATAAAATACAGCACCTCATCGTCATATCTTAGAGCTTGAATAAGATGTAGCATGAAAAAGGTTACACGGGAAGGAGGATATGCCTTTAATACCCTCATAATATAAGCCATCACACGTGGGTGGCCTTTGTATGTTGGTGTGAAATACTCTAAAGCTTGTGTGATTAAACAAGCAGCCCAATGTGTTAACTGTTGCAAAAGTGGTGAATCTTCATCCACAACTTTTGGGGTCACAAAGTAAGGTAAAGCTTCGGGTATGGTACGAATCTCTAATATATGTGTCTGTAACATTTAAAAAAAAAAGATGTCACAATATAAATTATAGAACAAAATTTTATTTATGTAAAAATATAAAAAATGGAGATAGTTACCTGAACCAAGTGAGTTAGTTCCATTTTTAGAGGAGAATTTGTAGGAAATCTAGCACCTAAAGACAAGTGCCCTCTGCGTTTTTTTTTGTTGGACACTAATTTTAGGGCACGCATAAATGCGTGTCTTCTATCCTTTGAATTTTGGAAAACTGACATTATTTTTAGGACATACAAAAAAATGTGTATAGTAAATAAGTGCGTGTCATTGCTTGCGTTTCATTAAAGGGCTGTTTTCTTGTAGTGTTCTGAGGCATCTTAATTATTAGGCAATCCTAACCAGCAATTTCCGAAAAGATCCTTAGCCTACTTACTAGTATGCATTTCTAGCATTTCACACATATCAGTAATCATAACAAATATGGATATTTTGGGAATCACTTTCCTTTCCGAGCTTTAGCTGATGGTATACATCACATTCTTTTTATTTTGAATAAAGTTCTTTTGATTAAAAAGATTTATTAAGATATTTAGATCCTCGGTTTGAGTATGGAATTACATGAGTGTCCATCTAGTTCGCTCACACTAGGGATTTGATAGCAACTTGTAACGTCCCGATTTTCACAACAAATTATTTCATTTTTTTTATAAAACAACATTTCGTTTATTTGTGACAAATACCAATGTTTTATATTCAAAACTCATTTATCTTACTTCAGAATATACGCAGAAACATGTTGCCAATGTGTGCGTACAGTCGAGCTTCGCCCTTCTTATTACATGATGGATTACCTGAAAACATTTAACATCAACTGGGTAAGCACTAAGCTTAGTATCTTGAAATGGCTCACGATATGCTAATAAGATATGTATCTTGGAATAGGCGGGCATGTAGGCTCCCGACCTCTTTAACCGTTCCACCATCATCCCATAATTAAATCTACGTGGTTCTATAGGTTCCTGGTCACTTTAACCATTCCACCATCAACCCTTACCTAGTTCTAATATCACAATAATTATGCATATAGAGACTTTACTTTAGATTCTACTATTACTAGCACATTTATACTTTCTACTCTACCAGTTCACACTTAAGCACATAGAGATTATGCTACTAGCTCTAATCTAATCGTTCCCTAGTCTAATATATATGGATACATATTTTAGTACATTGTATAATGAGATAACTCACATGGTCAATTTCTTCGATGATTGACAGCTATCTGGGTAATCCTATTGGTGATCTAATTGGTGGGTAATACGCCGAACAAGTATTAACCTATAAATCTTAACCTATAAATCTCGATGATGATCTGGTAATGAAAGTTAGATCTTTCACTAATCCCAATGAATACTGAGAGTTCTATCAAATAAGGATTAACCAGGCCAGACAGTTGAGAGGCAAGATCATTTCGGCATATAGCATTTACGACATCCAACAACCAAGCCAACATGACCATTCTAGAGACCTCTCCCGTAAGTAGATCAATCAGTAATATAACTAGAATTACTGATAAATCTCATTTATATATGTTGGATTAGGTGTCTAAGCCCATAACTATAATTGGTATGTACTTGACCCGATAGTAGCATGGTCCGTTTCGGGTTGCCTTCACCAGAACAATTTGATAAATGAATATTTGAGAAAGAGGTTATTTGTGATTTATTGATATATTATAAGTATAATATATTAATTGAGAAATCATATTATTTAATTAGTATTGATCAAAAATTAATTTTGAATTAATTTAGTGATCAAAAGAGACTAATTAAATTGGTACATATGGATTGGGCTAATGATCCATGATTGATTTGTGATGGGCTAAGCTTATGGGTTAGTCCAAATCAATTGTTGGATCATAAGCTTAAGTGTAAGAATTAGGGTTACACATGACTCTTGGAATTCTACACTATATATATGTAACTCTAAGCCTAAAATTGGTTACCACTTGCATTCCAAGAAGAAGAAACCGATTTTGAGTCTCCATAACCTCTCTCATATTCATCTAGTTGTTTATTGGTGTTTGTGACTTGTTTGAGGCACAACACTTGGGGTGCTAAGCTCTATTAAGGCCAAAGTTCTACTAGCTACACCAAAAGGTAATCTTCTAACTAGTTTTATGACTCATATATGAAATTTTGTATGCTAGTTTAGGCTTCATGCTTTGGAAACCAATATTGAATGTATAATTAGAGAAAACTTATATCCAAAGCATTAGGGTTGTATGTGCACCATAGGAATGTTTGAGTACATAAAACCCAACAATATATTCATAACAATGATTATGAATATAGATATAAGTTACACCAAAAGGTAATCTTCTAACTAGTTTTATGACTCATATATGAAATTTTGTATGCTAGTTTAGGCTTCATGCTTTGGAAACTAATATTGCATGTATAATTAAAGAAAACTTAGATCCAAAGCATTAGGGTTGTATGTGCACCATAGGAATGTTTGAGTACATAAAACCCAACAGTGGTATCAGAGCCATGGGTGTTTTTTGTTATATTGATGCAATTGTGTAATTTTCAAAGCTGAAAAAACTGAATTTATGGATTCTGACAGGACCAACTCGACGAGTCCATCATGGAAGTCGACGAGTTGGATCATATGATGATGAACTCGACGAGTTGGATTAGCAGATGGCAGAATTTTCGAGTTTTTAGCCTGTTTTGGATTAGGATCATTACCACAAACTGTTTTGGTTCATAAAATTCAATTTTACTGATATGGTAATGTTTATCCCCATCCAATAACATAATCATTGTCAAATTTTAAGATAATTACTTGATTTTGTGAAAAACTAATTATTTGTAAAAATTTGAAATTATATGAATAATATTAGGTCAATTGGTAAATGATAAATTATATGATAATGTTATTATTAGTTAAATTAATCTAAATGTTTATTGAAGAGTTTCATAACCTGTCCTCAAGTTATGAAATATGAAAAGTCATCATTCATGAAACATTAATTTTAAGTTATAGAATTCCAAAGGTCCTGAAGAGTTACATAACTTGTGCTCAAGTTATGGAACTTGGAAAGTCTCTTTTTCGTGACATAAATTCTAACACTAAAGAGTTTTTGAAGAGTTTCAAAACTTGCCCTCAAGTTTTGGAATTTGAAAAGTCTCATTTATGAAACTTTAATTCCAAACCCTAGAATTTTAAAAGTTTAAAATTCAACCCTATACTATTATAATATTAAAGTTTAATACCTATATATGTATAAGACAAGCCAGTCTTAACGTTAGTAGGCCTCATTCTCGAAGCCGGTCTATAAGGGGGGTATAAGTTCACTTCTTATAAAATGGTGGTTTAATGGGTGTCCACTCTCACCCACCGCTTCCTTGATTGGTGGAGGGTCGTTAGCCAAACGGGTAGGATAGGACATTAATCCTCATTAATAAGTATAGTGATATTATAAAGTAACTAAACTTTTATAAATTCCCAATCTTAGTTACTTTAGGAAAAATGTGAAAATGGTGCTATCCCATGGAAATTGCACTTTGCACCTTGCAAATTCGTTAGTGGAGCGTGTGTGGTTAACCGACACACTAATTTGGGACTAACAAGGGTGGCAAAGGGTAGCTTGATGTTAAACATGGATCAATGAAGCGTGTGTGGTTAACCAACACATTGATCAAGTGAAATGTAACATCAAGAGTACCAAGCACATTTGCATGGTTATTCACACCTTGTTTGTGATCCTCGGTATCCCAGTCACAAACTTGAAGGGCATAATCAAGATTTAAGCATGCCATTGATAAGATTCAATGAATCTCAAAGAATCTAGGAATTTTAATTCATTTAAAACATAATCTATATTTTCGTTTTTCATGGTGGAAATTAGTAAATCGTCATTTACCTACCTTCAAATATTTTACAATTGGATTACGACATCCCTCTTCCGAATTGTAGAGTATTGTGTTGGGTCCTAGCCTTAATATTTCATTTGGGTGTTATATTAAGGATCCTTATCTAATCTAAACTTTGTCTTTCTTTTCAGATGTCTACTTCAAACAATGCTTCAAACCCAATCCCTTCCGGCTCTTTCTCTCTTATGAACCTATGTGGGAGAGTCATCTTTGATGGATTGAACTTCAATGATTGGATTCGAAACATCCGCATGGCTATTCGCTATGAGGACAAAGAATATGTCCTCGATAAAGAGTTAAATGAGATTGATGAAAACACTGCTACTCCCGAACAGATTGCTGAGTATAAGACTCATGAGAGGGACGCGACAAAGGTGTCGTGTATTATGATTGCTACCATGACTGCTAAGCTTCAGAAGTCCTATGAGGACTTTTGGCCTTATGAAATGCACCAAGATTTTATGGAAAGGTACCATCAAAGTGCTCGGCAGGAAATGTATGAAATCATTGCTTCCATGATTACTACCAAAATGAAGGATGGAGAGTCTATCACGGCCCACTTGCAAAAGATGCAAAGGTTTGTGGACCACTTACTGAAGCTGAATGTCAACTTCGATGAAGAGTTGGCCATTGACATTATCCTACACTCTCTGCCTTCTTGTTATGATCAGTTTCATATGACTTATCATATGAACAAGGAGGAGGTCACTCTTAGCAAGCTTCAAGGTCTTTTAAGAACTGCTGAAAGTAGTTTGAAAGGAAAATATGTTGTACCTACTCCTACTGCTGCTGCCCCTGTCTTGGCAATTTGACATGGGAAGGGAAAGAATAGGAAGACTCCTTCTAAGAGCCATAAGGGAAAGTCCCATTTTGGATCGTCTTTTAGAGGGTCCAAAGGTGGTTCTGCTACCCCCTCCTCAAATCCAAAGGAAACAGAGTGCTTCCATTGTCATGAAAAAGGGCAATGGAAACGAAGCTACCCCAAATACTTGCAGGACATAAAGGACAAGAGGATCAAGCCCTCCTTTGCAGGTATTTACACTATTCTGTCTAATAACTCATCACATGCTTATTATAATTGAATTTTTTATTTTGAAGCATTGCCTTGTAATGGTATATATGAAACTGTGATGTTTGTAGATAATTTAGGAAATAATATGTTGCATATCGATTCGTCTAATGGTTTGGATAAAGCATCCTTATGG